GAAGAGCAGCTGCGGGGCGGACAGGAGGAACAGGCCCGTCGCTTAGAAGAGCAGCTCAAACGCGATAGGGAAGAGCAGATGCTTTTCATGAAGGACCTTCACGCTACCTTCGGGAAAGAGATAAGGGAGGTGAAGGATAAGGTTGCTCAACATGATAACCGCCTGTCGGAAGCTGAGACCCAAATCAACCAAGTTAAGAAAACGCTGGATGAACTCAAGCTTGGAGATGGAATTGCAGCTCCCGTAGTAGCTACTACACCTTCGCTACGTGGGTTCAAGGTGCCACCATTCGACGGGACTTCTTCCTGGTCAGCCTAAAAAATCCAGTTCGAAGCTGTTATGAAGGCGAACGGCTGGAATAAAAATCAGGCCATGACTGCTCTCACACTAGGCCTGCGCGACCAGGACTTAACAGTTCTGGAAGCTCTCGGTGAGGAAGTGACTTATGAGCAACTCCTTGAGGCATTGGAGGTGAGATATGGCGACGCTCACCTGGAACACGTCTTTCGTGCGCAGCTTAAAGATCGCGTGCAGCGCATCAACGAAAACCTGCAGCAGTGGGCTCTAGAGGTGGAGAAGCTGGTGCGAAAAGCATACCGGTCTGTACCTGCGCTCATTGAAGGGAACCTGGTGCAGACATTCATCGACGGCATCCGTGACCTGGAAGTCAGAGCTGCTGTGAGGCTCGGGCACCACGAGACGCTTAAGAACGCCTTGGCCCATGCACTGGAGGTGGAAGCCGTGCGGCAGGATCATCGTTCCCATCGCGTCAGGGAGGTTGCAGCAGCTACAGTCCGTGACCGCAGCAAAGGATACAGCCCTAGGTGCTATGGCTGTGGGGAAAAGGGCCATCTTCGATCCAGCTGCCCTAAACTAACCGTGGAAAGGAGAGTTGATCGATCTCGAGAGGGTAGTACAGCTAACGGCACTGCCTGGCGGCGACAGGATCATCGTTCACCTCACGCTAGGCAGGTTACAGCAGTTACGGTTCGCGACCACAATAAAAGATACAGCCCTAGGTGCTATGGCTGTGGGGAAAGGGGCCATCTTCGGTCCAGCTGCCCTAAGCACACCCTAGGAAGGGAAGGTGAACGGTCTCAGAAAGGAAGTGCGGCTAACAGCACCGCCCAGCAGCAGCAGGAATACGACTTTACTATCAGACACTGCAGCGGGAAATCTCACGGCAACGCAGATGCATTGACAAGAAGACCTTGTCCTGAAGATTGCAACCAATGTAGTAGGCAAGAGAGTAAGGAAGTGGTATCCGTGAGGATGCTCAGGACAGACCACCTCAGCAACGGGTGGAAGGACAGCCTACGACATGCACAGCAGGAAGATCCGGACATCAAGCCGATTCTGGGATGGATGAAGGCCCGTGCTACCAAGCCTAAGTGGAGGGACGTCTCAGCGATGAGTTCAACCACGAAAAGCTATTGGGCCCAATGGGACAGCTTGCTGATTCAGGATGGAGTCCTGTGCCGTAAATGGGACAATGGTCGAAGGGACAGCTGTCGTTTGCAAATGGTTGTCCCTAAAGCTAAAGTGCCGAATGTTCTACAGCTGTGCCATAATGGTCGTTCAAGAGTCCATCTGGGAGTTAAACGAACTCTACTGAAGGTCCGAGAACAGTTTTACTGGGTCCATTATCGTGACGATGTCGAGGATTGGTGTCGTACATGTACAAGTTGTGCGGCCGTGCGGGGACCTCAGACACGTAGTAGAGGAGCACCGAAATTGTACAATGTTGGTGCACCACGGGATAGAACAGCCCTTGACATTGCGGAGCCGTTACAGAAAGGCGCAAGAGGGACTCCTAAGATCGTCCATGTGGATCGCTTGGCGCGTTATTATGGGGCCGATAATGCTCGGGACGAGCATGTCTTAGGAGGGGGCAGTGTTACGCGCTCAAGTCGACGATACACTAGCGCCATCTAGTGTCAGGAACGAGAGCGAGGGAAGCATTGAGAAAATGACATCACAAATCACTCGACCGACAGCGCCACCCGAAGAACTAAGTTTCTGGAAAATCTACACTCGAATACTCGTTGCCTGGCGCGCATTTACTTGAATGTTCGGGACGCTTCTTTGCTAATTATATAAATAGGCGCTGCAAGATGCGATCGGGGCAGAGTTGAACTCGGCGACACAAGCGAAGCTTCGGAGCGGAATTAAGTAAATTAGTGTGTTTAATTATTAGTGTTTTAAGTTTTAATTTGTGTACAGTAAATTAAAGTATGGTTAATTTAGGTAATTTTATCGGCAACTTTTATTGTCACGAACCTCAAGCTCGTAACAAAACTCAAAGAACGTGTACAGAAATAAAATTACGGATTATCATCTGGATCATGTAATAAGGATTACATGTAGCGACAAGCCAGATCGTAAAAAAGTTTTAAAAAAGTGTTCACAGTATCAAAAATCGCATTAAAACATATAAACATTTTTGTTAAAACTTCTTCTTCATTAATAAAGTATGGTTACACAAAAAAAAACACACACACATTTGCATTTGTGTTAATTAGTTGGTTAGATCTCCGTTCCCCTCCCTCTCCCTTCCCGTACGGACATGCCCAATTGGGGGCTAGATTGGTGGCCCAATGGGAGGGCGCTCCGCAAAAAGGAAAGGCCGAAAGCACGCCGCCGGCAGTCCGGCAGTCATCGACATGCGCCGCCGCCACTCGACCAGTGGCTACCATAGTAGCAGCGGTATCTTGGCTGTGATAGCACTCTGTGACAGTCGAGCCAGAGAACTGTCAACCCCAGTGTATCATTCGTCGCGCTCGACCAGCTGCAACATAGTTTTGGTCATGACAGCAGGCCGTTGCAATTTGGTCGTGTTCGCAAGCCGACGACGGGCCGCAGCTATCATCTGCCCGCGTGGCTGAGGAGAGGCCGCGCTCAAGTAAGTGGCCCTTCCTATCTTGAGCTGCTTTCATTTGTTGTTCCTTTTTACCACAGCAGCTCATGCTCCTGTCGTGCCGGCTAACGCATTGAATTAGATAATAGCAAGTATACTGTCCAAAATCCGCCACTGCCACATCCGTCATTTTGTTTTGGTTTAAAACGAACCACGCTAAATATAGTCTACTTTCGTAATTCGCGTACCCAATAATTTTAGGATCATTATCGGAATCGAACCCGGCACCCTGTGACCCAACCATTAGTGTTCCTTCGCTCCAAATTTATTTGAAAGGGCAAACTAGTCGCCCCAACCATTTGTGGTCATTCGTTCCGGATTAGAACCCAGGAACGTATGGCCCAACCATATTTTTGTGACCCTTTGTTCCGGACTTGAATTAACATCATCACTCAGCAGCTCAACCAAAGTAAATAAATCATTAGCTTGGAGTTACGTTTTAATTAAAACCTTAATAATTCTTGCTTGCGGCCCTCGACACCATGACTGAAACGTGTTTGTGGCCCCTTTAAATAGAAAGTTAAGTATGGCTGATCTATGATATAAATTTAAAAGGAACATTGGGACACTAACGCATATGTGTAACACGACTTATAATAATCGACTAAAACCATGTTATGCCAGCCAAGTTATCCCACGACACCACGCCACAGTCAATCATTTCATTTGTCAAGATTAATACTAAGCCCGATCGTCGGTATACTATTCTAAATACTTTTGCTTTGCAAGTTTATAGAAATAAATATGTCCTATCATAATCCTCTAGTAAGAATGTGTCGGGTCCATGATGATATTGATTAATACAATATATTTAATAACAAAATAATTAAAAAAAATCATTTTTAGATTAATAATACCAAATGAGACATTCAAGGGTTATAACTTATACTTAATATAAATGTAAATGTATATTGTTTTTAATTGTTCATTTAATTTATTTTTGGTTTTAATTTTTTTATTTAATAATACATATAGCTGATAAGTGTCCGTGTGCGACTGCCTTGTTAGTTTAGTGGTTGTAGTAGTGCGATTGCCGATCATGAGGTCCTCCTGGGTTTGAATCCCGGGTCGGGCCAAAAAAAATCAATTTTTGCGTTGAGACAGGCTGCCGTGACCGAAATTCGGTCTGGAGGATATCCTATACCTTTAAACGAGCAATTCTTGTATATATATACATACACACACACACACACATATATATATATATATATATATATATATATTGCGCGAATAGCCAATCGGAATTTCGGAAACGGCTCCAACGATTTTCATAAAATTTAGTGTCCAGGGAGTTTCGCGGGCAATAAATCGATCTAGCTAGGATTTATTTTTTTAGAAAATGTTTTTTTGTCCGTGTTTTCAGGCAATGAAAAACTGTTACAATATAAGAAGGTCAATTTTGACACTGTTTTAATGATCGGAATAGCTTAAGTGGATATCAAGCGGTCGCGAAATCGTAATGCCTTGGTTCGCGTCCCGTCTCCGGTCCGATTTTTTTCCTTTTTTTTTCAAATTACCTTTTTTGTGAGAAAATCTATTATTTCGAGCCCTTTTATTAGTATTTTTTAAAAATACGAAAATTTTAATTAAATTAATTGCACTCATGATTTTTTATTCAAATAACCAGTTCAGTTTTTTCTATTATGTCAATAAGATCAAAAAATATTATTCATCAGTATGTAATTTGTATCTAAATGTAATTTCAAAAAAAAAAACAAAGCAAAGCTCGGTCATCTGGGTACTTATTATTATACAAGTATTTGTGATGTATACTGTAAACTCGTTATTGAAATGTAACCTCCTAATATCATGTTGTGTGCACATATTTTGGATTACCACCCAGATCATAACTTTGCACTTATTATGTTCATGTTGTTCATGTTTCGATGTCATTCTGTTTTGTGTGAGTAAATAAATAAATTAACGGAATTAATACTGGTAGCGGATATTCTTAGGCCACCACCACCACCACCACCACCATCATCATCACCATCACCACAGCAAGCCCTACCTACCTACCTGTCCTATGTTATCAACTAGTACATTTAAAATTATAAATAAATATGTGGTGGCGCGCACTTACCGACGAAGGTAAGGAAGTCGTCGCCCAGCACCCAGCTGCCCTCGCCCTGCACCAGGTACTGCTGCAGCTCGTCCAGGCTCTGGCGCTCCTCCGCGCTCAGCTCCGCCTTCTCAAGCGTCTTTGTCAGCCCCTCGAACTCTGCAGCGCCCTGCACGCATAACGCTACTTAATGATTTCTTAAATTTACGCGAACACTACACATTGAATAAAACTATTATTTACGAATTTTATCGCGTTTAATTCAAATTTAATTTATTTTTACTATCCCGACTTTTCGGGTGCTTTACAGTACCCGTGGTCACAGGGGGGACTGAGATGTTTGACGTCCCAATGTCATAGTTAGTCCGGCTACCTTCACTTTTTGAATATTAATTTTTTTTTTAATTTTTGGTCCGATTTCCGACCACGTCCGACGTCAAACATCTCAGTCCCCCCGTGACCACGGGTGCTGTAAAGCACCCGAAACGTCGGGATAATAAAAATAAATTAAAGTTGAATTAAACGCGATAAAATTCGTAAATAATAGTTTTATTCAATAACGCTACTTTTTACAATGTCCTTGTCCTTTTTAACTTTTACAGGCTGCATTACGGTTACAAATGCATGCGTGCTATCTCTTATCTCTCACTCTCGTAGTCCGAAGGGATGGAAATCGACACGACAAGAAAGATCAGGCGTAGGACTAACCTTACGTGTTTTCAGTTACGTGTCCTGTCCTCTAAGTAATCTATTATTGTCAATATTATATTACTATAAATATATCGCAGATGATACTGCAGTAATATCAGCTAGTAAGAAATCGGTGTTCTTTAGCGAGCTTCTTACATAGGACAAACTAAAAAATAAATAAAAACCCGCGTTAAAGAACACGCAGTTGATGTGAAGAATCGACGCTCTGGGAAGTCTGCAGTCTGTGAACACGTACAGGATCGCCTCCGTCACTACATGAGACTTTGATAGACCACAAATCCTCGCTTAAGAACACAAATTCCTTTCAAGGATGATTCGCGAAGCTATTGAAATAAAAAAAACATTCTAATTTCAATAGAGAAGATGACCGGGTGCTACTATCTACTTGGAATCCTATAATTAATAAAACTAAATCCCAACCCAAGCAAACAACTGCAAGACTTCAAGATAATGTAAGTTCATACTGCGTAGACCGTAATATAAGACCGTAACCGTAAATATAAGAAATTATGCCCACACGACACGCATAAAATCGTGCTTTTAGTGACGCAAAAATCAAACCAAACAATTTTTTTACCTAAAAAATTTATTTCTGCCACCGTTCTATCAGCTACTCATCAGTCAAAGTTCGTACAAATCGAAAAGTCAAAGATCGATATATAACTGTAAGTTATATGACGAACCGGAAACGGACGTGCGATATGACTGATGCTTACAAATAGACTTTAATGGAAAAAGTGTAATAATTTGGTCGACAAGTGATTCGAACCCACGCATTGGATGTGCTGTTCGTGTCAGAGCGCACCTAACACACTGACGTAAGCGACGGGAAAATCGCATCCGCAAGATCATTTTTTAGAAACCTATGGAAGATTCGACGGTGTCGTCATGATCATCATTATTCAGAGTCAGATTAGCTTTACAATGAATGTAAAAGTATACCATTATAATAATGTCCTCCAGACCACGGCGGCCAGTCTCCATTGAGACAGGCACGGAGCTGAAGCACCGCCTACTTCCTAACTTCGGGCTGCTATTGAGAATTTCTTGACAGAAAAACACAATAACTCATTTTTGTCCCGACTCTGGATTCGAACCCTCATCTCATGATCAGCGGCTGCGCTTACGATCGTGTACGATTTCCTTCATTCAGCAGTTCGCGTCACTCTGGTGGGGATTGTTTGCCGCTGGTGATCAGTCCGCATTGCCGGCGGGATTAATCATAAGATAGTTGTTACCTAAAATAAGATTATCTTTATATATAAAAATCCCGTGTCACGATGTTCGTTCTCTCGCCTAACCTCCGAAATCAATCAACCGATTTTATTGAAATTTTGTAAATGTGTATTGTTAGAGATAGGATAGTTTTTATCTCGATAAGTGGTCCTTGTTATCCTTGGTATATATATTGTAAGAATAAAAAAACTCCTATAAAAATAAATTTATTTTTAATTATTCAAACGACGTTGGAAATGGAACTGACTTGAGGGATTGAAGGATTTATACTTCAAATAGTGTAGGAAGCTGGAAAGTGGGGATAAATATTAGGGAACAATATTATTCTTGTTTGTGTTATCATTAACTTATTCTAAGATACAATTAAGAACGGTAAAAATGGGAACAACAAATTTAAGCATCACTATCTAATGAGTTCAGCTTCCAAGTAAATATACTATATAAATTATATAGTATCAATAGCATAACACCTCTCCCCTCAGAATAGAGGAAAAACTGCTTTGCTAGATTTTTGAGCATAGTCAGTTAGTTTTTTCTTCTTCGTTTTCTGATACCCAAGATGGCATAGCAGTGGTGTTGTCGATGAAATGAGAATCTTGGAGTGTTATCGGCGACGTGAACGGTCGAAGTAATTACTCAATATTTGTATACAGCTACTGTAACCATGTGGAGTTGTAGGCATGTCATTCCACGGCAAGCATTTAAACTATAAAAACAAAAAAAATGTTGTAGGTGAGGACATCCTTGCAGACTTTCGATTCCGTTGCGGAGTCTGTATTTATTTATCCAGAGGGCTCACACGATGACGTACTGGTGTTTAGTGGTACTCATGTCAAGGTTTGTTTCCTAATCTCTATCTCCACTTCCTAACTTTCTACAATATTTAAATCAAATCCTTCCATCCCTGAAGTCAGTTCTATTTCCAACTTTTCTGTATAAAGTTCCATACTTTTAGTTTTAGGTATTAAAAATAAATTTATTTTTAAAAGAGTTTTGTTCTTACCACATAACAATTTGGCGTAGTCAGTAGAATCTCGCGTGATTCATCCGCTTAAATCGCGTAAAGACGAAGTTAACGTAATAAATTCGACGGGAAAACATCGCCATCGTAACCCGAAACTTTTAGAAAAACTTCGCCGAACTATGCAGCTCCATATTTTACTGTTACTGTGGCAACTGGCAAGTGGCTAAACCACAACGCGTCCACCAATGTTTACATAACCACCGTATCATGCCAATTATAGTGATAATAATTTTACAAATAATTCTGTAACTCCAACTCATCCACCATTTACACAAACTATGTACAATAACCGTAACACACCGCAACAAATCACAAAATTAAGCAGTAATTGTTAACACTGGGCATAATATTACAGAACGCCATAAAAGAGCTTATAATAATAATAATAACATAACATACACATACATAACATAAACATACATAGCATAAACACTCACGCCTGTCACCCAGAGGGGTAGGCAGAGACTACAGACTTCTATTTAGCACGATCCTGACATACCTCTCTCGCCTCCTTCACATCCATATACCTACGCATACATGCTCATCGATTAAAGGTACTCTTAATTTGACCCATTTTTAATATATTGCCAATTTGGTCGACAAACTTTCGCCTAGGATGTCCCTTTCCGACTCTTCCATTCACTCCTGCAACATATATTTGCTTTGTCAGTCTTTGCTCATTCATCCTTTTTTTTTTTTGATTAAACCATCGAAGCATTCCTTTTTTTAATCCTGGTCACCGCATCATCTTGCAAACCACACTCTAATTTCATCACACAGTTTCCCACCCTGTCACTCAGATTCAGCCCTAACATACTCCTTAGCGTCCGTATTTCTACTGAATTTATTCAACTCTAGTGCTTCTTCTGCCACACCAAATTTCACTACCATACGTTAAAGTAGGGACTAATACAGCATTGTGAATTGCCATACGTGCCTTTTTTGACACATTCTAACTTTTCACAATAGAGTGTAGAGTCCCATTTACTTTATCTGCATTCACTCGTCGTTCAATATCCTTATCATATCTCCCATCGCTGCTGAATACACATCCCAAAAGCTACCATCTAATAATATTTATAATAATAATGTAAAAACTAATCAAGCACTTCTTGTGAATATCGAGAAATAAAGATATTAATAGTTAATTGCAACCATCCGCTCAATTAAATGATGTGTCGTACCTAGTTTGAAGAGCATCTTCCGCCCTCCCTCAATTTCGGATCCCAAATCCCTGTACTGGGATTAGTGGTGACGGGAATAGTGCACGCAATTGATGAAGGGCGGGAGGTGCTCTTCAAACTAGTTAGGACACATCATTTTATTGAGCGGATGGTTGCAAAGTAACTATTAATATCTTTATTATAATGGATTTCCGCAAAGTAACGCCTGATTCTATTAATTAATATCGAGAAATATTTCAAAATATCGAGAATCTACAAATAATAGTCATCTAGTCAATCGAATTCTATTTCTCGAAGGCGTCCTTAACCGGCGAACCATTAGGATCAAACAACGCAAACAAACAGCGTACTTTCTAAATCACCGCTTTAGCGTCAGAAACAATTAAAAATGTGTCTACACAAACTAGCGACTTAGTTACTGCTTTTTTATTAAAATTACTTACTATTTGAGTAAAATACTGAAAATTCACCGAATCTAGTTCTTACGACCAGTGTAGCAAGCCCCAAACCCTTGGTTTTGCAATGTTTACTATTCCTACTACATCCACTGACTCCATCAAGAACACTGCACCTTCTAGTTCCGCTGACTGCACTGTTTTTTAAAAATCACTTTCAGACCTAAAAACTAAACTAACTGTAACTAAAACTATAAAGCCTAAATAAAAACTTCCCAAATTCAAATCTAACACAAAATCTTTTGCCACATCCGGCTTAAATTATGTACCACCCCATAACCTCTTACAATGCACTTTTCACATACAAGACAATCTAGTCATATTTCTAATAGACACCGGAGCAGGGATTTTGGTTATAAAAAAGATAAAATAGGTTCGTCAACTTCGTCAAACATCGTGTCAAATGTCAATCGTAGGCATTTCCAGTAGCCAAAATTCAATAACAACTTCAGGCACCACTGACATATATCTCTAGATTATCTACCAATATATCGTTTTTATTTCGCTTCCCTAACATTAAGGTAGATACGGTATCCTAGGTAACGATTTTATGATAAAA